TGGACCCGTATATGCTGCTCTCTATGCTCTGAGCCTGCCTTGCATTCTGGCTGGTGCTTTCTTCCTCCTCTTTCTTGTCCTCTTCATGTTCGAGGCAATTCGGCGTCACCTGTTCTCAATCAAGGGAAAGTCAGCATCACAAGGTATACTTTGGTTTGTTTTGAAAAATCCGAAAGATTGTATTTTATTCTTTTAGTGTGACCGTCTGCAATAGCTGTCTCTCACAAGGGTGATAAAAACAGCAGATATGACTTAAATAGTTAACTTATATAAGCATCAGTAATATTCATATGTATTGTGTATATGTGTATGGATTTTGTATAGACTGCTCTTATGACAATACCGTTCATAAATTATGTCTAGACGGCTCCTATGGCGTTTATTATCTTAAATTATGTTAGGGGCAGCTTTTTTTCCATTTCTTATCGAAAAACTGGCATTCTAAAATCAAAAATCCATTTACCGCTGCAAAAAAAGTGGAACAATGTACGTTTTCTGGAGTATGCTTTGATGCTAACGACTTGAAAAAGGGAACATGTCTGAACCATGTAAGCATCGATGAGTACCCTTATAAATATTGCACTGCCTTATAAATGACCACCCTTTGCGTATTATGTTGGACGATTATTTTCAGTTTTTTCGAACTCCGCAGACCAAATACGTAGCCCGAAATGCTACATATTTATTTCTTTTTTGACGTTTCTGTACTTAATGAAAAACTAGTTACAATGTCAGGAGTGTAAACGCCCGCAAGCAGATGATGAAACCTCACTGAACTCACTTGTTCAACGCTGTTTTCTTGTTTCATCCTCAAGCGGCGTCAGCATACGCACGGAGGCTAGCAGGTTAGTCAAATTCTCTCGGTGGTTTATCACTTGGGGTGGAATATGACCGGCTGATGATGGCTAATGAGCGCGAAGTGGTCATCTAAGTGTTAAGTGTCTTTGTAGGCAAAGTTATCTGCCCAAAACACCACAATCGTTTGCGTATTTTTCGGATTTTCGCGAAGTAGGGCAAACCAGGCATTTTGTTTCACCTATGGTCTGGCATGATGCCTTGGCCGTCTTCTTTCAGGTCGTGGTGCTTGCAAGTCAACTTCTCGCTTCTGTTGGGGAGGAATATTCTGCGTTTGTTCTGGCCTGCTTCTTGTGCCTATCATCCTCCTCGGCCTGGTCGGCGTGGTCACAGTCACAGTTGGTGGTTTCATGCACGCTGAAGTCTGCCCCTACATAGCCAATAGCAGGGGAATGCGCATGAGCGACTACGTGGCGAATCTAAAAGTACGAGACGTATGGGACAACGTTGTTCTGCCGCAATTGTCAGGCGGAGAAACAAATGACTTTGCAGACTTTCTCAACTTGAAAGCTCCCCAAAACCCACTACAGGCAATCCTGATCGGTTGTGATCCACAAAATGGCGAACCGACCTCAAAGTCAGGGCTTCTGGCGCAGATGGGAATTGGTAACTTGGTCAATATCAGTGCGTTCCTACAGAAATCTAGGCTCACTGAGGGCGTTAACCAGGCTAAAAAGTAAGTCCATAGGTTTTCTGCATTATCATTGCATGGTGCTTACAGAATATGGTGCACTTTTAAGCATTTCTTATATCCTTGTTGTTGCCAGGATATTTTCTTTCCTACATTACAGGCTAATGCTTTCAAAAATGCACTACTTTAAAATGGGCAAAATCGAGCGATGCATATCACATCCAAGAATAAGACCGTGGTCACTCTTCGAATTCCTGCAATTAATTCATGACTCCTTACAGAAAGGAAGGCTTTCTTGCTATTTGAGTCATGGGTCTACATTGCAAAGCAGGCGAAATTCTGAAAGTTTTCCAAGCATTCTTGTGGGCCACAACCGCACTGCTTGGCACCCCAACCAGTACATTCAGCATAGTGCCTGATGTGTAACTGTTTGCATGGTCTAGTACATGTATGATTTCATTATCGTGACTTAGGTTTTGATGGCCAAGTGACTAAGGGGACCTTTTGTTGCCTCTAATTTGTTTCTGCAAAAAGAAATATGGAGTGTAATTTAGATCAAAAGTGATATAGTATACACAAATAGTTACATTGGGCAAATTTTTCTAGATGACTAGGTCTCCCAGCAATGTGTTTCCCTATGCCTATGTATACCTTTCCCCGAATTTCAATTATTTATATTCTAGGAATCTTGTGGATAACATCGCCAATGCAAACTTAGGCAACGAATTCCAGGACGACATGATAACCAAACTCAAAAACATTATTCAAGCGTTCCAACAAATGCTCAAGTCTCTTGATTTACCTGTAAGTTGGCGTTAAATGAACGATTTAATAGATACGTAATGTTATTTTATTTAAGGCAGTTATCTTGGCTTAATGTTTCATAAAATTGCCTGGCATTTAAAAACCTGTGGCGCAATGCAGAGCTAATGAAGTTCCAACCCCCCAGTTAGCTGATTGGTTTCCTTATTCATTGGTCAAATGCTGCCTAGAGAAAATTATTATTTTAAAAAAAACTGTACCAAGACAAACAGCTCTTAATTGTGATCATTTTTCCATTGGCCACACTAAACGTCTTCTTGTTCTTGATTATTCGGTTGCACGTTCACTTTAAATGAGCTAAATGCAAAACATATCTCACGCGTCCAGACGTCTATTTCAAATTACGAATTATATCTATACGCCTGGGGTAGAAATCCAGAAAAAGCGCTAGTAGGATTAAATGTGTTTGCACTCAGTAAAATGTTTGCTGTTTCAACATCTCCTTTCCTTGCTTATAGAAATCCATTAATCATCTTCAAATCAGTGTTTTCAAAACAGCAGCCATTGAAAGTTTTGCAAAAAATCTGCCTTTCAACTGCAATGCGCAAAAAGATGATTTACTTGCCTTGGTTCGTAATCTGAACGAGAGTAATGCCGCTATGAATGAACTTCGTAGTGCATTTGAAGGCCTGAACGGCAACGCAACGGCGCTAAACTCGTCAAAACTGGAGGCAGATATAACTTCTTTGAAAATGGTGAGTACTTTTTTGACGATTTCATATTCCAAATATTAAACTTAAAGAACTCTATACTCTGGGTTGATGAAGTGCATGTCACAAGCGAATCAGTCTCCGTTTTCATTTATCTTTTAAATTTTGTTCTGTATTTTATTACTCAATTTTGTGGGTTCATTTTTGGGAGCATACAAGAACAATGTAGGTGTACTTCGTAGGTTAAATTGGCACTATAATCTTACTTAATAGCAGATATTTAAAATTCTCGGCGGTATAGATGAACAATGATAGATCGTATATCCTGATCATCACGCTAGAGAAATAGAAGCGAGGCTTCAAACTGCACTGAAACAGTGTAAGTGTTTCGTAGTAACATGCTTTCAGAAATATGAGTCTCTTCTAACGTAGGGATTGCCACCTTAACGGGACACAGAAATATGGACATAACAGGAATCTAACACACTTGGTTTTGCAATATGTTTAACAAATAATAAATATTGCGGTTCACAAAGCTAACATTGGTCCTAAATCCTAAACATAGCATGACCCTCTATCTCACCCTTTTTTACCAGGAACCTACATCTAAACATTTGAAATACTATGGACCCCATTCACAACTCTTATTTTAACTCCAATCCAACAGCAAATCCTTAATTTGCCCCCCAAATTGGTGCTAACTTAGAACCTAATTTTCTGAGAATTTTCTTTAAAGCCCCACGTACTCTCAGTGGTTAATGTTGACCGGTTATGAAAGTCATCCTTG